TAGTTTACTTGTAATTGAAGGTTTTTTGTTTTTTTCACTATTTTATTTTTTCACATAACTTATGTGGCCTATGAGACCAAAGTAAGGTGCAATGTATATATATACACTCGTTGTATACAACACAATAAGCACACAAACATAATTATCAATATATTGTTTACAAACTTGTTTACAAAACAAACAAACAATCATCCTCCTCCTTCCTCCTCCTCCTCCTCCTTTTCTCATCCTCCTTCTCCTCCTCCTCCTCTCCTCCTCCTCCTTTCTCCTCCTCCTCCTCCTCCTCCTCCTTCTCCTCCTCTCCTCTCCTCCTCCTTCTCCTCCTCCTCCTTCCTCCCTCCTCCTTCTCCTCCTCCTTTCCTCCTCCTTCTCCTCCTCCTTCTCCTTCTCCTCCTCCCTCCTCCTTCCTCCTCCTTCTCCTTCTCTCTTCTCCTCCTCCTCCTCCTCCTCCTCCTTCTCCTCCTCCTTGTCTTGTGTGCGAGTGTGTGGCTTATAATTGTTTTGAGTCAGAAGTCGGCAGCTGTCAAAGTGACATATTGTCTCATTAGTCACTACCCCTACCGCCTGTCAAAACAATGGGGTCGGATGCTGCTTCCCTCCTCCATTCTATCTAATTATCTTTCTCCCTCATTCTATATCTTTCAATCTGTCTCTCTTTCTATCTGTCTGCCTATCTCTGTCTCACAGGTACACATAAATACAAGTATACATAGTGTAAATTACCTAGGATAACCCAAGAAATCCAGACAAAGTGCTATACTCTGCTTGAAGATGTGAGTAAACGTGATGACACAGTCTTGTGGCTCTCTCTGAGACAGAGAGCTAGATGGACAGACAGGGAGCTTGACAGACAGACAAATAGACAGACAGACAAATGTTTGTGTACCAGCAAAAACAAAGGGAGGCGATGGTCATGTAATATTACCCTCCTTTACGCTCATCAAAGTCAGCTCTTATCAGATGTTATCTCCCCTTATCTTGTCACTGTCATGGGGTGGACTTTTTTTTTTCTTGCTTCAAGGGAACAATATTATTACATCTTCTTCCTCCTCTCCTCCTCTCTCTCTCTCCTCCTCCTTCCATCCTCCTCCTCCTCTTCCTTCCCTCCTCCTCCTCCTCTTCCTTCCCCTCCTCCTCCCTCCATTGCTTTTGGTCTCAAACTCCTCCAAATCATGAAATTGATCTTCACTGACACTTCCATCTGTGTTAGAGCATCACTTGGGAAGAGAAGAGTCCCAGATTTGCTGGGGAATCACATATTTCTTACGCTAGACATGCTGAAAAAGGACAACTGAAATGGCATTCCCACAATGCACCACTGGCTCCCCGATTTTTTTTATATGGTGCACACTGACCATGGAGACCCATTCTCTCACATGTGGGCCTACCAGCTTTCTCCTGCTTGATTTGAAGCTGCTAGAATTTATGCGTATAAATACGTCAGAAACATTGGCTCGTAAGACGTATTTATACGTCGGAAACAGTCAAAGGGTTAAGTTGCATAATAAGTTACATAATATTAAGTTTTCGGGTGAAAGTACTTCAGCTGATCATACAGCAGCAAGTAATTTCCCTGCTGAATTGCAGGAAATTATTTCTGAGGGTGGCTATGAGCCACATCAAGTGTTTAATGCTGAGAGACAAGTGTTTTTTGGAGAAACAATGCTAACAACTTATATTAGTCAGCAACGAGAAAAGTGCACCAGCTTACAAGACACAGAAAGGAATGCTTTACCTTGCTCATTTGCGTACAAAGCATCCTAAAGTCGGTTCCTGACCGCGGGCTGTGGCTCGTACGTTGGTTTGCGTGCAGCCCAGCAGTAACAGCCTGGTTGATCAGGCTCTGATCCACCAGGGCGGCCTGGTCACACGACCAGGGAGGGGGCGTTGACCCCCGGAAGGAAACTCTCTCCCGGTAAATCCAGGTAATGTGTGGTGATTTCAAGTGTAAGCCCATGGTTTATTTACCGCCCTCCTAAGAATCCTGTGCTTTAAAAGTGTAGATAAAAACACCTTACCAGGTAATTTGGGGTCAAACCAGTCAGCATGACAAACAAAGACGAAATATTTACTGAGGCTTAAGCAAACTTTATTCCTGAAGTTAGGTTTTCGTCTGCACAGCAAGAACCTTGCATTCAAACTCTCCTCTTCATTCTCTTGATAATTTCCATTATTTCATCCACAAGCTTTGCTGGATGTGACCCCTCAAATGTAAAAGTTTTGTGTTTTTACCTCCAAATACAACATCTTAATACAGCCTCTGGATCGGAGGGTTAAGTCTTTCAAGTGTAACTACACAAAAAATTATGAAAAACTAGTTTGCATCAATGCCTTCTGATTTCCAACCTGGCTAGTACAAGTTTCTGGAATATATTTAACACTGCAGATGCTATCAGCTATGCTAGAAAGTGCATGGAATGAAGTGGCCCCAATCAACATTAAAATGCAGGCAGGGAAAGTTATGGCCGTCTGTAGTTAATTAATTTCACTGGTCCATTTCCCTTGTTTACTTGAGAGCAGGAGATTACCAGGTGATGGTTTTGAAGATATGAATGAAGATGTGAATGAGCTCTTAGAAGGATGATGATGGACAACAGGAGTCCCAGAGGAAATGTTGGCAGAGCTTGATTGCACACATACAATTGTGAGCCACATAACAAGATGAAGAAGAACTGAAGAAAAACAGTTAACAACTGCAGACAGTTATGTGAGCAGTTCCATGTTGCTGCTAAAACTAGACAGACTTTTTTACTGAAGAGGACCCTGACAAATCTAGAAAGCAGTGCACTTTGAAATGGGGTACTTAAGTGACTAGCTGATGATGCCTTACCCTCCGGTCAAATGTATAACGTATTGCAGGGTGAAAGAGCCCAGAGATCCATTACAGTATTTATGAGCACTCAATACACCATCGACTTTAGTTACCAGAACCTCCACATCCACTTCTGCGACAAAACAACAAACCATCCACACTCAACCCAGTAGGTTCAAACCTGCATCTTCCACTCTCTTCACATCATCCACAAACACCAGTACCCACAATTTAAGGTAAGAAATACTATTATTTCTTGTTGCACTTGTAGTACTCAGCAGTAATATATCACGACAATGAACTACATTGTAGCTTTTGCAAAGAAGTAAAATCTTTATCTTAAATTTATCATTTTCGAAAATTTATGTCTGCTAGTCAATGTTTCTGAATGCTACATAAAATTATTCACTAATATCTTGTCATTGCATCTGAAAATGATACTGTTTGTTTTTACTGGTAATTTCAATGATCAGCTGTTCTGTCAGTAATAGCTAATAATGCATCTTTTTTTTTTTTTTGAGGACCTAATATATTGGCCCAGGTTAGTGGTCTATAGTAAGGCAGAGGTCACAGTAATTCATGAGGTAGTGGCAAAGAAAGCTAGAGACTTATGTGGAAGAGATAAAATGCTACAGCTAGGAGATGAAAGTACAAGACCAAAAGGTAACACATCAAAGAAGAGACAGGTCACTGAATGATGAATGAATTGGCCAAAAGTGATAGCAGCAGAAATTGTTATAGCAGCCACAGTTATAATAGCAGCATAAACATCTACATTAGAAGCAACTACTAGCAGCAGTTGCTTCTAACGTACACTTGGTGTGGCAGCCTCCTGCCAAACTAGTGGTTAGATTGTTAACCTGCCAGCCTGCAGTACCACGGGTACGTCAACAAACTCAATGTGGAGACTGCTGAGCCGGCCTTAGAAGCAGTATTCACTTGACCACCTTACGGTGTGTATCTACTGGCCTTAGAAGCAGTATTTACCAGACCACCTTACGGTATACATCTACTGGCAGTAGAGAGTATCAACCAGACCATCTTACAGTATACAACTACTGGCCTTATAGAGAGTATTCACCAAACTACCTCACGGAGTACATTTGAAAGTGATGTCTACGGACTCACTGCTGACTTCAGTCAACTGCGGGCCTCCTGGCTGCAGTTACTCGTCACTCAGATCCTGTGGACTTCAGTTACCTGAGGGCTTCGCTTAGTCTGCTGGCTTCAGTTATTGTGGGCCTCAGGACTTGGTTACCTGTGGGCCTCTGGTTGTAGTTTACTGGCCAGTTTTGCGGACTTCGACCTGCAGGCCTTGGTGAACTTTTGCTGGCCTCCTGCTGATCTAAGGGAGTGTAGTGTTTGGCTGTCCTCTGAGAGAAAGACGCTATGCGGGTGACACAGCCGAGAAAGAGTGTTATAACAGAGACAAGGGTGTCGTGTTGGACACAGTAGAGATGTATGTGTGACGCAGAGACAAGGGTGTCAAGTGGACACAGTAGAGATGGTGTGTGTGACGCAGAGACAAGGGTGTAATGTGGACACGGTAGAGAAGGAGGTGTCGTGTGACACAGAGATAAGGGTGTTGTGTGACACAGAGAGAAGGAGCGTCATAACACGGACAAGGGTGTCGTGTGACACGGAGAGGGAGCGTCATAACACAGACAAGGGTGTCGTGTGACACGGTAGAGAAAGTGTTATAATACTGAGAAGGGAGTATGGCATAACTCCGTGTAACTAGTGTTTGTATGACTGAGTGTGACACAATAGTGTCAGAAATGTTGTACCCTGTGTGGTAGGGTCATGAGTTGATTATAATTTTATTTTAGGTTTTATACATATATATATATTTGTACAAAGTTTGTTAATTATAATTTTATTATTGTAGCATGTATATATGTGTACCAAAGATAATAGGTTTTTGTCAGATGTTATTATATTAAAGATTATTTTATTATTATAGAATACCTCTAGACCAAAGATTGTTTTTATATGATAGTAAAGATGATAAATTGTTTTATGTTTATTCAGTATCCCGAACTCTCATATTACTGCACTAGTTATAAGGCCAACTAGTGTTTTTTTTTAATACTTGGACACTTGTAGAATCAAAAGCATTCTATTTAAAAAAAAAAAGGGTGGGGGGGGGGGGGTGTTACCTACAGAATGTTCAATAAATCCGACTAACCTTCATACATGTCTATTGCTGCTCTAATAAAAAAAACCCGTGTCTTGAGTACGTTTTGCTTCACTCCGGCTATCATGTCGAGACGGTATTTCTCCTTGTAATCTGAAGCTGTCAGGAGATGGGAATAATTTCTAAGCCATTATCTGTGGCAAACTGTCGTTTGATTGGGCCAGACAGTCGAATTTTTTTTACTCTGAGTCTAAATCCAACCTGTGGGGTAAATGAACTCACAATATGTATCACAGTGAAAATACAGCTAATATGTTAAAAGAATTTACAAGTTATTCCACAAACAACAGCATTGGAAAAAAATACATGAGAATAATGACACAAGGTAAAAGTTAAATCTTAGCATTAACCCGTAAAGGGCCCAACAACGTATATATACGTTTTTTCAACATTTGAAAGGATTTTAAAAAAAGTAGATCTTTTTTTTTTACATTTGAAACGTGTAAAAAAACTTTGATTACTTTTTTTTTGTTATATTTGAAAATATGTAAAAAAAAAAACGTAATCTACTTTTGGAGCACTAAAACGTGAACATAGATCTGCTTGGACCGTTTACGGGTTAATAGTAAATACATGTATATATGACAGTTTTCTCCTATACTGTTCTAGTACAGGTCAGCTATCACTGATTGGCAATCACTAATCCGGCACTAATTTCAGCTAGGGTATTTCAAATTTCCCTGGTCGCTGCACCAACCTGTTGCAAAAATGTTTATGGCACTACTTGCTGCATAAACACTTGCAAACACAGGCAAGCCATTCAAATTTGTTTTTCTCTTTGGCTTAAAGTTTGATGCAGTGTGTGGTTCAGCAGACAAGGAAGCAGCTGCTAAATTTTGTTGATGAGTTTGCCAAGTTAGTTTCAGGTGAAAAATTAAGTCCTTTAAAATGGGCTACAATGAAGATGAGACATCAGTGTATTGGAAATGTATGCCAAGAAGAACTCTGACAACTGAGGATGCAGATCACCAACAGATTATAAAGCATCGGGAAAATCGTGTCACTGTGCAGGACTGCTCTAATGCTGTAGGAGCACACAGGTGTAAGTTGCTGGTCATTGGTAAAAACTTATGTCCCTTGCCTGATTACAACGGTTAACTTTATTAACCAACTTGTACTGATTTACAGGGTATTTCACAGGTAGGATGAGGTGGTTAGCTGTTGAGTTCAGTGTATTCTAACCTAACCCCTCTATGATCTAGCAAAAATCACTAATCTGGCATCCTACAGGTCCCAATGATGCTGGATTAGTGATGGTCAACCTGTAGCACAGTATATAGCAGATTGCCCAAAACCTCTTTCTAAACTTGAGGTGTGCAAAATAAAGCCTGCAGGCCACATTCAGAAAGCCAAGGAATTCTCCCTCCCCTGATACTCTGTCTAGCAATTTAAGAATATTTATAAAGTCACCCATTTCAAGAAGCACTCGTTTTAATTGAATTTTATCCTATGACCAAATTACAGTGGAACCTCTAGTTACGAATTTAATCCGTTCCATGACCTTGCTCGCATCTGGATTTGCTCATTTGCAGAGTCAATTTTCCTCATTTAAATTAAATGAAATGAAATTATTTCGTTCCAGCAGAATTCCAGGCATGAGAAAATACTTCAATAATTTCCCTAATATCAACGGTACAGCTTATTTATCTATCACAATTCTTGTAATATGACATAATAAACAATATATTAATAACACAGAAACATGATACACGTATATACACTAGAATGAATAAAATACATGTCATTACTTATGTGGCTAGTGGTGGTGACAGTGGCCATTGTTGTTGGGGTGGTTTATAGGGCTCACCCAGAAGCCCATTCTGCTACTTACTACATGCTGTAGAGGAAACCTAGGATAACCCAAAAAAGTCAGACAGAAGTTATTTGGTAAGTGCTACAATCTTAATGCTACACTTAATTGCTACACTCTTATGCTACACTTTGCCACTGCAGCTTCATGTTGTCTGCCCACTGCTAACCTCATGATGTCTGCCACTGATGCTTCATGTTATCTGCCGCTGTGCTTCATGTTGTTGGCCACTGCTAGCTTCATGTTTATCGCCACTGCAGCTTCATGTTGTCTGCACTGCTACCTCATGATGTCTGCCACTGCTGCTTCATGATTGTCTGCCACTGCTGCTTCATGTTGTCTGCCACTGCTGCTTCATTGTTGTCTGCCACTGCAGCTTCATGATGTCTGCCACTGCTTGTTCAGTTGTCTGCCACTTGCTGCTTCATGTTGTCTGCCCACTGCTACCTTCATGAGTGTCTGCCACTGCTGCTTATACTGTCTGCCACTGCTACCTCGTGATGTCTGCCCACCTGATGCCTCATGTTGTCTGCCACTGATGCTTAATGTTGTCTGCCACTGCTGCTCATGTTGTCTGCAATGCTACTCATGATATCTGCCAATGCTGCTTCATATTGTCTGCCATTGCTCCTCATATGTCTGCCACTGCTGCTTCATGTTGTCTGCCACTGTGCTCATGTTGTCTGCCACTGATGCTTAATGTTGTTGCCACTGCTGCTTCATGTAGTCTGCCACTGCTGCTTTCATGAGGTATCGCCACTGCTGCTTCATGTTGTCTGCCATGATGCTTCATGCTTGTCTGCCACTGATGCTTCATGTTGATCTGCACACTGCTGCTTCATGTTGTCTGCAATGCTGCTTCATGTTGTCTGCCACTGATGCTTCATGTTGTCTGCCAATGATGCTTCTTGTTGTCTGCCACTGATGCTTCATGTTGTCTGCCCTGATTGCACTTCATTGTTGTCTGCCACTGCTACCTCATGATGTCTGCCACTGCTGCTTACATGATGTCTGCCACTGCTTGCTTCATGTTGTCTATGCCACTGATGCTTCATGTTGTCATGCCACTGCTGTTCTGTTGTCTGGCACCGTGCCTTTCCATGTTGTTCTGCCACTGCTGCTTCTGTTGTCTGCTCCCATTTTGCTAGTGTGTTGATGAGCTTTCCAATTTGTGGAAGGTTGAGGGGCAGAGCCACATCGAGGCATTTTTGCTACTGTTGATGCTCAATTTCACGGTAAATTTTCATCGTGAAACATCAAAAGCATATCTATTTCCTGTAGAGATAAAACTTCGAATATCAAAATGAGGACAAAAAAGTGAGAATACAACCATAAAAACCATATGAAAAAATATACCACTAAGGGGAGGTTAATGCGAATGAGGAAGTGAACTCCGTTATTCATGGTCCGATTTCTTTCATTTTTGTTGTAAGGTAAGTAGCATCTTTCCATCATAATTGCCCAAGTTTAAATAAGACAGTCTCCAACAAACAACTGTGATCCAATTCCCTAGATCAAGAGAGGAAGAGCCCCTCACCACTGCGTTCAAGAAACCTCCCTGAAGCCCGGCTCGCATCTGGAAAATTTCACTTTGTGTCTGGAAGCAAAATATCGCCCTGAGTTGATTGCTGTATCTGGATTAAACTCACACGTGGATGCGCTCGTAAGTAGAGGTTCCACTGCATTTTTTATCCATCAGTTATGAATACAATGGACCCTCATTGTTCGTAAATTATCCGTTCCTGGAGCGTTATATATCGAAAATTTACGTTTACAAATCAATTTTCTCCATAAGAAATAATGTAAATACAATAATCCATTCCTGACACCAGAAGCATTAAAACAAAAATTTTTTAACATGGAAATATGCATGTAGATCCCCCCCCCCCCCCCCCCCCACCCCCCCCCCCCCCCCCCCCCCCCCCCCCCCCCCCCCCCCCCCCCCCCAACTACATAAACAAATACAATGGGAAATGATGCATGAACATAACAGCATAACACTGTACCTTTTTGGAGATTCTTCTAGTGGTATGTGAGATGGAGGGAGGAGGATGAGAAGTGGATTGTTATAGTTTGGAGGGGGAATCCCCTTCCATCAACACCTTCAGGTACAAATTTGCTTTTCTGGGGTTTGCCTTCTCTTCTCTGTTTTTTAATGCCACTAGACCACCTTGAGTGTCCACTGGAGTCCTGTCTCACAAAATAACTGTGGACGGAGAGCTCTGTTTTTGGGCATCTCATTAACAGTTCATAAATGGCCAAGACTTTGTCATGTACATGTTGCCAACCTGGCTGGAACAACCTTGTTAGGGTGATGTTTCTCCTTAAAGCTTTCCATCTTACCCCAATAGTAAAAATCTCTTTATTTGAAGAAGGCACCTTCTTCCATCTCTTTCCTCCTCCTCTGCAGCAAGATTCTGAGCTGTGATGTGTTGTCTTCCTGCTGAAGATCTCAGTGGTGAGCTCTTCATTGTTGTTCTCTTCCACCAATTCTTTTTTTTTCCCACATCCTCCAAACTCACACCCACCCCCATGGAACGCCCCAGTGCCCACAACTGATTTTACAACAGACATAGGCTCATTAGGTCAGTCCCAAAATTTTCAAAATCCTCTTGTCGACACAATCTGGCCACAATTTTCTCCAGGCAGTTCAAAGGTCCATGGGTAGTCACTCCCTCCAAGCCATACCTATAAGGATATGCAGTGGAGGTGCCTGAAGTGTTCTCTCCACATCCCTTTAGGGTCAAAAAAAAAGTGGTCTGTGGTCACAGTTCAAGCACCATGTGAAACATTGTTTTTGTGTAGAGTTTTTTTGAAGTTTGCAATAAACTGCTTGTGCATGGGTTGGAGGGAGGAGTGGTATTCGGGGGCAAGCAACTTTACTGTGATGACCCAAAACTCCTCGAAAATTAGGTCATCCAAGTTTGGAGGATGAGCAGGTGAATTGTCCATTACTAGCAGGCACTTGAGTACAATTTCTTTTCCAGGTGATACTCCTTAACACTAGGGCCAAACACTTCAACATTTTGAACCCACGCGACGAAAATTTCCCTGTGACCCATGACCTTACTAATAGATTTCCAAAAAACACACAATTTACTCTCATAACATTGTTTTTCCTGAACACTCCGGGATTTTCAGGAATGGTACACTAGTAATGGGCTTCTTCACTTTGAAATCCCACTAGCATTAGCACAGAACATTAGCGTCAGCCTGTCTTTCATAGGCTTGTGTCCTGGCATTGCTTTCCTCTTGTGTAATAGAGGTCCTCTTTGGCATTTTCTTCCAAAAGAGGCCTGTTTGTCACAATTGAACACTGTTTC